AAAAAAAAAAAAAAAAAAAATTAAAAAAAAAAAAAAAAAAATTAAATAAACAAAATAAAAGGAGAAAAGTAAGCTGGAGGTGACAGCCCCTGCAGACACCATGGGAGGACTGCACTGTCTCTCAGCTCTAAATTCATCTGTTTTGCCTGCTCTGTGAAAGTTAATCTGGGGGCCGGAGAGATGGCTCAGTGGAATAAGCGCTTCCCTGGCAAGCGCAATCCCCGGTTCCGCCAAAAAAAAAAAAAAAAAAGGAAGTTAATCTGGGTAATCGGGGCCCTTTAAATATTTGCCCTCGCCAGCCAGCTGCACTCAGATTTGTTGGTTGAGGGCACAGGAGGAGTAAGCCCTCAGGGTCTGAGTTACAGCAGTGGCCTGGAGGCCCCACGCGGTGCCCAGGGCTTCTCCAGCACTGACCAGCAGCTCACAGCCTCCAGCTCCTGCTGCCATCTGTAGCAGCCCGCACTCCCACTGCTACAGCACTCAATGGCTGAATGGGTACAAAAATCAATGGAGTCTGACCTAGGCCTAGTGACTCGTGGTGAGACCCCAGGCTGACTCAGGGACAGATAAATCTCTATGCCAAGGACCAGGGCCAAGGCTAGGAAGCAGTTTGTGAAGGCCTAGTTCCTCAGCACAAGGTAACATGGCAGCTGAGGACATCGCTGCAAAGGCCATCTACTGCAGCTGCCAGTTAGCGGAACATCAGGTTACTAGTTAACCCTGATCTATTCCTCTGCTCTTCCAAAAATGCTCTGGCCAGTTCTTGAACCTCTGACCATCCTGGTGCCCCTGTAACTATAGAGCATCTATTCTGTCTGTGTTTCATCCTGTCGTGCCTCTGAGCAGGAGATCGGTGGTCCAAGGCCAGAGCCCGGATACTCAACTGCCTGTTGCACCCAGAGGCCAGCAGCTGCCGCTCCCCTTGACATGGGGGCCAGCAGGCTGTCACCATGCCCTGGGGGGGGCACTCCCTCTACCTGCTGTCCTATAGGAGAGTCAGCTTCTTGACTCACAATCTGGCTACACCTGAGACAGCCCACATGGAGAATGTGCTCCATACGCCTAGCTGCCCAAGCCTCCTTGCTTAGCAGCGGGTGGTTTCCTCCATGATCATGGGGGACTGCGGCCACTGGCACCGCAGCCAGCTGCACACTGCCCAAGACCCAGCTGCAGACAGAGAGTACGGTCCTACTGCGAGTCACTTTTCACCATCACAGCCCTGCACGGATTGGTGCACACCTGGAATCCAGCACTGTGGGGGCCGAAGCCCGAGTCCCGCCTGGAAAACCTAGTGACTTAGTGAGATCCTGTCTCAAGATGAAAAGAAAAATAAAATAAAAAGGGCTGGAAATATATCTAGCTCACTGCAAACCCTCTGGGTTCAATCTCCAGTAGCACAAAATAATAGTAATGATAATATTAATAAAAGAAAACTGAAAGTCCTAAGTCAAATGATCAAGTCGGGGGCCATCTATATTTCAAGTTCCGAGGCCCAGTTTCTGTTGAGAATTTTCGGCATAAAACTTTTCCTCTTTAATGTACTGCACAGTCTTTGTCTTCTGGACTCAGACTAATACTGAAAACTGTTCAAGGAAAAAATGGGGATAAACTGTTCAAGGAAAAAATGTTCTTTTTAAAAGGAAAGGGTGGGGGCTGGGGAGATGGCTCAGTGGAATAAGTGCTTCCCTGGCAAGCGCAAAGGACTGAGTTCAATCCCCGGTTCCACCAAAAAAAAAAAAAAGGAAAGGGTGAGGGGCTTGCGGGTTAGCTCAGTTGTTTAAAGTGCCTGCTTGGGCAAACCCAGTCAGGCACAGCGATGAAAAAGGAAAGCGGAACTCAATCAATTAGCAGAGGCCACTGACCAGGAATGCCTAGATTTGTGTGACCCGATGTCATTGTTACAGGAGGAAGCAGACTAGCTAAAGTAGTCCTCCAAACTAGCAGAGGTTTAGATTCAGTCTTCCTACAATAAGGAGGGGTTTGTAATGCCCTAGGAAGGAAACTGCTGTTTCTATGCTAATAAAATTGGAATAGTCGAAGAAGGTCTGCAAGTGTGATATTGCAAGAGAGACAGCAACATCAGAAGCAAGGATGGGTCCAAGGAGTCAGACCATGGCTAGGGCCCCTTTTAGAGCCCCTGACAGCCTTTATCTCAGTTCTCCTGATTGGGCCCTGCCTGATTAATTTTGGATTACTTGGGGCCGAGGAGATGGCTCAGTAGAAGTAAGTGTTTCCCGGGCAAGCACAAGGGCCTGAGTTCAATCCCCGGTTCTGCAAAAAAAAAAGAAAGAAAGAAAGAAAAATTTTTTTTTGGATTACTTGCTTGGTTTCAGAACAGATCAACAGCAATAAAGTGCCAAATTGGCCCTCAGAGCTTCTCCTGCTTACACAGCTTTAGAAAGAAGTGACACTGAAAAAGATTTTTCTGAGTAACAAGAGGAAGAAACGAAGGGAAAAACCATACAAAGAAAAACTGTCTAAAAACTTTGTTCTTGGGCCGTGGAGATGGCTCAGTAGAACAAGCACTTGCCTGGCAAGCACAAGGGGCCTGAGTTCAATCCCTGGTTCCGCCAAAAAACGAACAAAACAAAAAAAACCTTTTGTTCTTTTTGAAGCTGCCTGGCTCTGTGATTGCTTCCTTGAACCCTGCAACCACGAGGGTCTCACTGGACATACAGGATGCCTGACTGTAGCCAACAGTCATTCATCCAGATTCCTGGAACCAATGATTTCACCCTGCTAGCCAATCACAAGAACTGCGGGGCTGCCCTGCCCCGCCCCGTCTTTGTGACCCCTGCCTATGCCTCACATCAAAATGCTGGCTCATGGACACTGCCCGCCTGGCTTTTGCTGCAAGGTGTTCCAGCCAGGACCGTTGGTGTAATCTAAAGCTGTTCATTGCCCGACTTCCTTGGGAGGCTTTCTCTTCCGGGACTCAGTTTTGCAGCAATAATCCAACCCCTCCCTCACTCCCAGACCTCACAGTAGGCCAAGGCTGTGAGGGATCCCGGGGAAGGGGTGGGCGGGGCCAGGCACATCAGAGGTGCTCAGGAAAGCGTGATGAGTGACTGAAGGTTGCGGAGGCTCCTGACTTCCTGGGGTGACCTGCACGCTGCGTCACTTTTGATTCCGACCACCCCAGCCCTGCACACGCTACAGCTAAGCCTAGGGTGACAGAGGACACCGTGGGCTCAGAGAGAGAGATGGGATCTGCTCAGTGGCCAAACTTGGGCCTTGGCTGCTCCTCAGGGCAAACAGAAGCACAGTGGCCAGGCCACATGCAAGGGGCCCATTTCCCAGGGGGAATAAGAAAGGCGGGGCACTTACTTTGCTGCTACTCATCTCTCGCCGGCGTCTGCTGAGGGGGAGGGGCCAGCGTCCTGCAGGTGGTGCAGGGGGCAAGGGTGCTGGGTCACACCTGCAAGCCACCAGAAAGGGTTATGACCTGGTGCCTTCCTGTGGGTCCAGTGAGTCAAAGGCTCCCAATCTGTACCCTGTCATCTCTTCCGCCCATCCAGAAGCTTAAGGTTCGTTATTATATCCACTTTACAGATAAGAGACCTGGAAGCCCAGAGAGGGAAGGAGCCTGCCTGAGGTCATACAGCCAGATAAGGGCAAGTGATGGGACCCACCCAGCTGAGTCCCCACACACGGCCTGCTGTAAACTTTTGGCTCTGTGGCCACAGGATCAAGCAACATTCATCAAAGATCCCCAAACTCCTTTGTTGTCCTCTCTGTCCAGGTTACAGCCTTCTATCTGGAATGCCTTCCCTCTAGCACCTGCCTGAGCCTGGGGTGGGCCAGAAACTTCTGGGGTCTTTCCCTCGGGCCACAGCCCTCTATGGGCAGCACCCCTTACTGACCCTCCCCTGGGTCCCCGAATCCATCCCTTAGCAAGTAAGATCTCAGAGTCCAGGGAATGGCCCAGCGTTTGAGAGAGGCAGCCCTGTCTCCTAGCTCCCCTTCTCCACACATTGTCCCCACCTCTAAGGACCCAGCCCTTTCTGATTTTGTCCCACCTGTAACCAGGCGAGGGCTCTCGAGTCCAGCCCACTTCTGACAGGCACAGGTCAGAGGGCAGCGTGGTATGGCGTACACACGGAGAACCTGGGGTGGGGGCCGCCTCTTGGCTTTGGCCACTGTGTCTCTCCCCTGACCCAGCGGCTGTTTACTGCTACACTGACACCAGGAATAGGAAGAACCTCAGGATAGACACACACGCACACCGCCCCTGATTGGCCAGGCCTGGCCCCGCCCGCCCCCTCCCACTCCCGCAGGCGCCCCCTTCTTCATCTCCAGGCTTCAGGTTTCCCCAGGGCCGGCCCCTCACAACCAATCAGGGAGTCGCCGGGTTCCCACCCGTCCCCGCTGCACAGGGGAAACTGAGGCTCATCCGAACCCGGGAGTGGCTAGTCCTGGCACTCACAGACTGTTGAAGCATAGACAGAGTGCCGAGTCCTGGTGGCCTCGCTTCAGATACTTACAGTCGGGGTCCCAGGCCCGCCCCCCACTTTCCCACCTGCGCCTGAGCCGCGCCCTCGCTGGGCCAAACGTCCCGGGTCACAATCCTGCTCTGGGGAAGCCATGGTCAGTACAGCACATCAGTTCCCACTGCGAACCCCGGCTCCACCACTTACTGGCTGGGGGACCTTGAGCAAGCCATGTGACCTCTCTGAGCCTCAGTTTCCTCATCTGCGAAACGGGAACAATAAGAGGCGGTAACTCTGGGGTTCGTGGAAGGGTTCAAGCAGATATGACCGACGGTGCCCGGCTGGACACCCCCTGCCCCACAGGCCGGCAGTGCCCCTTCCTGTGGTTACTCCGGCCAGACCCAGCGCCTCCTCGATTATGAACCCCAAGCCTGTGGCCTCCCCTACTCTGGACCCCAAGCCTGCGGCTCCTTCCTGACTAGGGGAAGCGGTCAAGCCTCGCCAAGCGTCGCCCGCGGCCGCCCTGACCCTCATCGCACAGAGCAGGAGGCTGAGGTTGGGGACCCGCGCCTGGTGGGTGGGGGAGCCCGTGACGTGCTCGCTGGGGGCGCGGCTCGCGGGCCCGCTCGGGGGCCCCCTCCATCCCTCCAGCGGGCTGGGCAAGGGCCCCGGGGATGGCTGCAGGGGGAGGCAGCTTAGGCCGGGAGCCCAGACCGGGTGGCCGCGCCGGGGGCTGGGGTGGGAAGAGGCTGGGGCTCGGGCAGCGGGTCGGCTCCCAGCGGGGGGTGTCGGACCCCACCTGCGCCCTCCGCGCAGAACCTCACCTCCGGGGCTCCAGCGCCCGAACCCAGCGGGATGGAGACGCTGCGCCGCGGCGGGTCGCAGCCCTTGTAGGGTCGGTGATGGGGACCCAGGTGACCTGAGATCGGCAGAGGCGCGCCGGGCTCCGGGGTGCAAGCGCCAGGGCTGGGTCTCGGGGAGCCCCAGGCCCTCCGCTCCCCTCCCCAGCTGTCTGCGGCCTCCCCCTACCCGTGTAGCGCCGCCCCCGCCCACCCGGTCAGCGCCCCTCACCTCCGCCGGGGAGCCCCGGGCCCCCCGCGACCCCCGGCCCCTCACATGGCGCCGGGACCCGAGGCCGGGTAGCGACGCTCGGCCCAGGCCGCCGCAGCCCCGCCGCCGGGTCCTAGCGCCGCTGCTCCAAGCCCGGCCTAGGCCTGCGAGGAGGGCGGAGCCTCGGGCGAGGGTGGCTCCGCCCAGGGTGAAAGACCCGAAGGGGCGGGTGGTGGGCGATCCCGGGTCCGAACCGCTGGAGCACACCCCCAGGCCCTCTGGACAGCCCGAGGCGACGAGCGAGCGGACCCCGGTGTGAATGCGGTTCAAATTTATCTCCTTAGTGGCACCGCGACCCCAGACAGGGAAACTGAATCCGGGAGCGGGCTGCGCTTGGACGCTGTTGAGTCAGTTTCTCCCTGGCCCCTGAGCTAGGTAGGCCTTCGAGTTATAATAATAACTGCATATATTATGCCTGAGAAGTATCAGAGTTCAAGACTGCTTTGCCATCTACAACTGCACAAGCTCCCTCCTCCTGTTCTGGGATTGATGATCCCAGATCCTTTGAGCTGAGCTACATTCCCAACCCATTTTGTTTTTTTTATTAAATATTTTCTTTGTTTGTTTGCTATGCAGCCTGGACTCCCCAGCACTGAGACTGCAGATGTGCTCCACCACCCCTGGTTTCAGGGCTTTCAGCATGCGGTACCTGGGGTTGAATTTGGGTACTTGAGTTTTATCAGACAGGCGCTTAGACCAAAGAATGAACTATCTCCCCCGCCCCCGCCCCCTTTTATTAAATTTTGAAATAGGGTCTCACTAAGTCACCCAGGCTGGGCTTGAATTTGAGATCTCCCTGACTTTGCTCCCACAGTGTTGGGATTATTGGCACGCCATCACCCCTGACTGACTGCAACCCTAATCACGTTACTTCCTTTCCGTTGCTTCTAGTATATATGGACGATGGGGACTTAACATTTTAATTACCAGGGTGTTCATTACATCATTTTACGTGGCTATGAAAAATAACAACTTAAATAGCCATTGTGAGGAGAAGGAAGCCCAAACCAGGCCGTTAAAAATGAAGTGGGCAGGTCGATGTGCGAGGCAGGCCATCCTCTAAGCGAGGATGCTTAGAAAAGGGAAGCAAGTTTAAAAAATTGCATCTTGTGTAACCACCCTGGAAAAGCAAATTGTAAAAATTTCCATTCAGGATGTGGGTACATATACCCTGGGTAAATCCTTGTAAATATACAGAACCAAGTTCATATCAGCCCTGCTTGAAATAACTCAGAAGAGGAAATGAACTAAACAGCTCTTGACAGAAGAAAAAAAATTTTAACATGACGGCCCATTCGCACTAGGGAAAATGTGAAGTAAGGGCAATGAATGAAGCAGATCGTGCTCTCACACAATGGATCTTAAGGATTCGAGGGGGGCCAAGGCATCGTGGGCAGGCGAATGAAGCGATACAGTACACAGCGCAGCGCAGGAAGTAGCCCGCTTCTCAAAAGAGATAGCTTTTGTCTGTCACAGTGCTTAAAGTATTAAACTGGGCCTTGTGGCACCAGCCTGCAATCCCAGCACTCAGGAGGCTGAGGCAGGTGGGTCACCGTGAGTTCTAGGACAACCTGGGCTACATGATAAGTTCCAGCCCAGTCTGAACATAGTGAGACCACATCTCAAAAAC